ACCGGTGCGGGCCATAGATACCTCTGAGCTCAGCCCTAGCCTCACCCACCTTACTCCTATCTCTCGCCCCCGTCCCGTTTTGACCTCATTTCCACTGGGAGGGAGTAGGGATCATGGCGTGGAGAGGGAGCTCTGTTCTGCCCATTATTTGGGCATCAAAAAGATGAAAATAACCGTCACAAAGCAGCCTGTGAAGCAGCTGCACTGACACCGTGTGCCCTAGAAAAAGCAGATGCAGGAGACTCGCTTAAACTCCCAAGTCCCGCGGTTTTTCATGGGAACATGGATCCTCGCCTTCTCCATCCTCACCCCAAGCCTCCAGTGTTCCTGGCTCTTCACCATCATCTCCTGAGTCTTGGTCAGTGAACAGTTTGCTACCTGAGCCTCGTCCCGGAGTGGGGCTGTGGCCTCACGCACAAACGTCAGGCAAGCCCCTGGGCATGGGTTCCTTCCTTTCAGTCGCATCCTAACCCAAGAATTAGACTTACTGTGAGTTTACTGTGGCCCCAAACTGCAACGCTTGCTTCATATGCCTCATCTCACTTATCTCACTATTACCCTTGGAAGTAGGAAGACTGTGTAAGGGAGAAACAGGTGACCCTCCCAAGGTCATAACTGGTGTACGGTGAAGGCCGGGCTCAAGCGGAAATCTTTGTGTGGCTTACATTAGATGCTTTCCTTAATTTGCTCCTCTCAGGAGAAGACCTTAAGCATGCAGTAAATACCGCTGGGGCTCTTATCTCTGACGTGGGAACGGCTGTGTGCAAGTCCAGGTGAAGCAGATAACCCAGCAGTTCTCCTGGGTACAGCCTGCAGGTCCCCCACCAGCCACCACTCCTGGAGGCAAGTCCTGTGTCCATTCACCACAGAGTCCCCACGTCAGTAGCCCTAGTGGAGCAAAATGTTTGTTGGCAACATGAAGGAATGAGGAAGTGAATCACTTCATGACCCTATGAATGAATGAAGCAACCCTCAGCATGATGCACTAATGCGATAGGAAGCAGCCTTTCCAAGCATCCGACGGCCCTGACATGGTCACTAAGACAGGCTGTGAGCTCCAGTGGGACAGGGACCCTATAGGTCCTGCTCACTAGGCTGTTCCCAGGGAGTTAGCACGTGCCCAGAGCAAATCTTCAATGCACTTTGGTCCAGCTGAGGGTGGTCTTATGAGAGGCGGTCCCCCGGGGACAGGCAGCCCTGCTCTCGGAGAATGACTGACAGGCTCTCTCCCTCGGCCTGGGCTTCTTTCCTGGGCGCCCCCGTCTCACCCCTGCCTCCTCCCGCTTCCCAGAGCGCACAAGGTTATGATCACAGCGCCACCGCGCACCACACCTCCACCTCTCCTCCCCTAACTCCTGGCACAGGTGAGAGTAAGAAAGTGATGCCCGGCCACGTGGCTCAGTGGTTGAGCATTGACCTATGAACCAGGAGGTCACGGTTCAATTCCCGGTCAGGGCACTTGCCCGGGTTGCAGGCTCGATTCCCAGTAAGAGGCGTGCAGGAGGCAGACAATCAATGATTCTCTGTCATCATTGATGTTTCTCTCTCTCTCTCCCTCTCCCTTCCTCTCTGGAGTCGATAAAAATATATTTTTAAAAAAACAAAGTGTGAGCAGGTGACCCGGGGTCACCACACAGCACTTCTCCCGACGCTCAGCTCGGGGTTCAGGCGGCCCACAGCACTGCCACGTCTACACGTGCGTTCACGTGTTCGTGTTGGCCCCGTCCGAGCAGGGAGGGTACCTGAGTCATGAACTCACATTCCCCATATTCTCGGCCCTTCGTTTTCTGTTTTCATTTTGGTTTCGGCTTTTTATTAACAATAAGGTAGAAGCAGGAAACTCCCACACAGGATGTGAGCAGCTCGCCACCACCACCTTCTGGCCCCCCCGGGCAGTGAAGCCGCCGCCGCGGCCACAGGGGCGGACACGGATCCGGGGAGGGGGCCCATGGGTGCTCAGTGCTGTCTCCCCTCCGACACGGGGTGGGGGCTGAGTTGGGGTGAGAAGGGAGAAGACGTTGAGTCTGAAACCCTGTGTTCAGAAAAATCATAGAATGTAGACTTTAATCATAAAGATCGTTTTCCCAAAGCGTATTGTTAAGAGGCTGTGAAACATGGGCAAGGCTCGCGGCTTAATTACGAGTTCAGAAGAGCCTCGCACGTCGCTCCCGCTCCAGGAAAACATGACGGAGCACGCATCCCGGGTTGGTACGTGTGCTTGCCGGGGCCTCAGACACGGGCTGGTGCTGGGCTGTCTGCCCCGGCCTGCGCCGCCGCCGCAATCCGCAGCCTGGGGGCTTAGTGACGATTACAAAACGCCTTTTGTTCGCTCGGTAAGTGATTCAGATATCTGAGCGCTGCCGATCCGCTCGGCGAGGGTGGTAGCGAGGACACATGCGTCTCACAGGAGAGCTGAGCCTGCGTTCTCCCCCCGGGAGCGAAATGCGTGCAGCGCTGTGGGAACCCTGAGCAGCCTGTCCGTGGTTGGGAACGCTGTGAGCTGTGAGGTTGTCTGACATCTTTGGTTGCCCGTGTATTCGCCCCTGAGTTTCAAATGGGTCTCTCTCTCTCTCACTCCTGGCAGCTCCTCGAATTCTCTAAAATTCAGCAGCCCATGAAAACCTGACTTTACAATTAGATTCAAAGATTCCCAGTTAAGATAGCTGCCCAGGTTTTTCAAACTTAATAATTCAGTTATTTAAGAAAAGAAAAGATGCCCTGGCCGGTGTGGCTCAGTGGATAGAGCGTCGGCCTGCAGACTGAAGGGTCCTGGGTTCAATTCTGGTCAAGGGCAGGTACCTCGGATACAGGCTCCTTCCCGGCCCGGGCCCTGGTCAGAGCCCGTGCAGGAGGCAACCCATCGATGTGTTTCTCTCACATCAGTGTTTCTTTCTGTCTTTCCCTCTCTCTTCCCTCTCTCTAAAAATCAATGGAAAAACATCCTCCGTTGAGGATAAAAATAAAAGAAGATAGAAAGAAATGGATCCGTCGGAGGGAAGGGTGGGGGGCTGTGGGGAGAAGAATGGGAAGGGAGACTGGGTGGGGCTACAGGTGCCTGGTGCGCTGCCCACGATACAACGTTGGGGAGCTGAGCAGAGAGGCCCTTCTGGGAGCCGGGAAGCCGCTGTGGAGCAGGTGGGGATATGGCATCGCCGGGGGAATAACGCACGTCTACGCCGCGGCACGGACAACACTCACACCTGCTCTTTTCCTGGGCGGCTTCCTCTCTAGAGTGACGCCCAGCGTGCAGAGTCCCGGCTGGGCCCCAGGTGGTGTAGTCTGCTGTGCCCTCTGTCCACAAAGAAGGTGGGACACAGAGAACGTTCGTGTTTGACCTAAAGAAATGTAAAGCCGGCTTCTGGTGGGGCAATGTCCAATCTGCATTTTCTTACGTATTTTGCCCAAAAATAGAGGGTTTTTTTTTCTCCTCCATATATATATACATATATATATTATTGATTTTTTACAGAGAGGAAGGGAGAGGGATAGAGCGTTAGAAACATTGATGAGAGAGAAACATCGATCAGCTGCCTCCTGCACACTCCCTACTGGGGATGTGCCCGCAACCAAGGTACATGCCCTTGACCGGAATCAAACCCGGGACCCTTGAGTCCGCAGGCCGATGCGCTATCCACTGAGCCAAACCGGTCAGGGCTTTTCTCCTCCTTTTCACCTGCAAACAGCGTGATGCTTTTGGGAACAGACTCCTGGGAACGCTGGAGTCCAGTTTCCAAAATCCTTTTCACCTAAACCTTCCGAAGCCAACTCTGGTCCCGTCGCCGTCCTGGGCCTCTTTCCTGGCAGCCTAGAACGTTCTTGCCCACACTCTGCCCCGGGGAAGAGGCAGGACCCCTCGGTGTCGGGTGACGGAGCCAGCTCCGGGGCTGGGTTTGCGAGCGTCATCGGGCCGCAGGGCCAGCTGCCCGGCCGGGCCTGCCTTTCCACCGGCCTTGGCAGAAAATTCCCCTAAACAGAAAGCATTTCAGACCCTGTGGGTTCTTTCTGCCAAAGGTACAAAAAGAAAAAAACACTTTACCTTCTTTTTTGCTCTCTAAGTACAGACAGGTGGCCACTGAGTTGGGAAACGTTTCTGATGGTGGTCATGTGATTATTGGTGACGCTGAAATGTCTGCACAGTCACTACGAGCAGCTCGACAGTTTGAACGTTAACACTCCACCTGGCCCGGCCGGGGGGGCTCAGTGGTTGAGCGTCCACCTGTGAACCAGGAGGTCACAGTTCGATTCCTGGTCAAGGACACATGCCCAGGTTGTGGGCTCAATCTCCAGTGGGGGACATGCAGGAGGCAGCCGATCAATGATTCTCTCTCATCATTGATGTTTCTGTCTCTGCCTCCCTCTCTCTTTTTTATTTTAAAATAAAAATATATTTTAAAAAAACAAAAAAACACTCCACCGGGAAATCTTCCTCATCATTATTCTCATCTCTATATATAAAAGTGTAAGCGACCGTCCGACCGCTCGACCGTCCAACCAGTAGCTATGACCAGGGGGCAGATGCTCAACACAGGAGCTGCCGAGCCGCAGTGACTTGGCAGCTGCGGTTCTCAGGTGACACACCCAGAACCAGAGAGGAGGGAGCCCGATTCTGGGGTGCGTTACCCTAGAACCACCCTCTCACAATCGGGGACCCCTCAGGGGATGTCGGAGAGCTGGTTTCGGCCTGATCCCCGCAGGCCAGGCCGAGGGACCCCACCGGTGCACGAATCTGTGCACTGGGCCTCTAGTGATGAAATAAAGCCTGTGGAGGGAGTTAGCAGAGGGAAACCTTCAAGAACCAAATATAAACTACATTTCAGTATTTTGGGGGGAGAAAAGGCCAAACAAAAGCAAATACTTGGACTTAAGTGAGCTTACGGGACACTGGCAGAGAGGCCACACACGTGTGACATACTGAGACAAAGGAAACTGGTTTCTTATTAAAAGACTTTTTTTTTAATCCCTCCCACTCTACCTGTCACTGACCTCCCGGTTCTCCGCAGACACCAGGCAGATCCAGCCCTCCCCGCCCTGGTCCTACGACCAGTCCTACCAGTACCTGGGCTCGATCGCCTCTCCCTCCGTGCACCCAGCGACGCCCATCTCGCCGGGCCGGGCCAGCGGCATGACGACCCTCTCCGCGGAGATTTCCAGCCGGCTCTCAAGTAAGCGGCCCGGAGACACCCTCTGAAAGCGAGGGAGGTCTCGGAGTGGGAGGTCGCGGAGTGGGAGGTCTCGGAGTGGGAGGTCGTGCAGTGGGAGGTCGCGGAGTGGGAGGTCGCGGAGTGGGAGGTCGCGGAGTGGGAGGTCGCGGGACCAGAGGAGATGCGTGGAGCGGGTGGCGTCACTTTTCATGGGCTCAGATGTGGTTTAAAGACAGGGCTGTCCAGCTCCCGGTCCCACGGCCATGCGCTGCCCGGCCTTGACTCCCAGCGGCAGGGGTGGCCTGGAGAAGTGGACACCTGGGGCGTGGTGGGGTGGCTCACGTTCCACAAGCAAAGGTGGCAGCTGGAGGGTTAATCACACTATAGAAGGAAGAAGTCGGCCTGCGGAACGCAGCTGGGATGGGTCACGTGACCAGTTTTCATGGGTCACGTGTGACCAGCACCCTGGGGTCCCCGTGGGATGGGAAGCAAGTGAATACACCCCAAGGGAGACAGTTCCACTAGGAGCTGCTCAGACCAGGCCGGAGGCCCCGTGGAAAGCCCGGGTGGCGGGGTTCGTGCATGCCGTTAGCACCAGCTCACTAATATTAGGCATTTCACCGCGGGACTTCCGGGCTTGGCGCTCATCTTTGCTCGTGGGCAGGGAACTCGGAGCTGCAGAGAAACATCCCTTTGCTGAGAGCAAGCCTCCGTGGGCTGTGACATGGGAGCTGGGCGGGGTCGTGACAATGGCTCCGGGACCTCAGCCTCCGACGGCCGCACACACACTTCCCGCCCAGGGCCGGTGGCTGCATGGCTCTTCCCTCCTCGGGATCAGTTAGAGCAGGCGAGGGGCGGGCAAAGGCAAGGCCGCGTGTCCGGCATCTCCAGGGTGGCCCAGTGTTGTGCTGTCCAGACAGTTGGGGTTGCTTGGGGTTCACCAGGTGCTTTAGCCTCTTCTCAGAGCTCCTCAACAGGGGCACCGATGGCACTGGGGACCAGGCAGCTCTTGGTTGGGGGGCCGTCCGTGAAATGCAGGTGCTTAGTAGCGCCTCTGGCCTCTGGGTTCCAGTAGCCCCCGCCTCTCCATGGAGACAACCACAGAATGTCCCCAGACCTTGCCGGATGTCCCCACACCACCCCCAGGTGAGAACAGGGCCTTCGCGTTCCTTGGGAGCTGGCGTGCCGTAGGGAAGCCACCGACTTGTCCAGTTTTCACCTGCTTCCGGCCACGGGTGCCAACATCTTCCTGGCACCCACGGGCTCCGGCAGTGAGGAAGTAGCGCAGGCATGAGGACGGCTGCTCGGCTTGTGGTTTAGAAGGCCTGTTCCCGAGGCCCTTGTCAAGTCTCACTGATTCTGCTCGGGGCGCTGCTCTGCCCGCGGGCTGGCCGTGGCCTGCTTCCGAAACAACGCCTGCTCTCCTGGGCAAGGGCCCTGTTTGGGGTCTGTCCCTTGGAATTCATTACGTCTTTTGACCTGGTTGGCATCTTATAGTCCAAGGACCGGAGGGGCCAAGTGATCAAACATAAGGGTGATTTTAAAAAAAATGGGTACTGTGAGCGCCCCCAAACCCAGCTTCAGGCACCCCCAAGTGTGGAGGATGCGTCATGGCATGAGGGTGTGCAGTGGGTACAAACCGGGTCCCATTTCTGCACCCGATGGCCCTTTGCTGACGTGGAGGGAGGAGCAGTGAGAATCGCAGAGAGCAGCACGGGAGATGCTTTTCACTAGCAGATCTCCCCCTCGAGCAGGGCTGAGCCCGGCCTGAAAGTGGGTCCTGTGCTGGGGCCGGGGCTGGGGCTGGGGCCGGGGAGGGGGAGACACAGAAGTGGCCACTTGGCCCCAGCTTTAGAACCCAGCCCTGCCCTGGCCTGCCTTTCCCTTTCGCCCCGCCCCCAGCTCTGCGCTGTCCTGCCCCCCAGCCCCACCTGGGCTGCCTTCTGCACGGGACTTGCACTCTGTCTGCCTCTCTCTCTCCTCTGCAGACAGACTCCACACCTTGTCTGAGAAGAGTTGTCATCCGGAGGTTTTCTTTGCTTTTTTCCTTCTGCTTTTTTTAAAAGAAGTTAATGTTTAGCTGCCAACCCGGGCGACAGACGGCATGCATTTTTCTGAGTCATGAGAAAGCTCCCTTGAAGGCAGCCATTATCTGCTCAGGCTGTTTAATCCTGTGGGGCAGGGGGCAGGGCCTGGCATGGGGCTGCTTTCATCCCAGAAAACTGCAGGATGAGAACTTGAGCTGTCACGGCCAATCTTTAGCCCCTTCGGTGGGGCAACATTTCCAGCGAAAATACCTGCCCCTCCTAATCCCCAGATTTCCTGCTCCTTCAAAGCCCCTGTGCTCACAGGGTCTGCCCCTCCGCCCACGCTGGAGTTGACTAGGGGGCACCAGGCCAGCCAGAGGGCAAATGAGCTGCCCCCACCCCCCAGGGGTGTAACTGGTGAGGCCTGGTAGGCGGTATCAAACTGGACATCAAATTGAAAACAAATATTTGAATAGATCATTTGAATCTGAGCATATCTAAAGGGCCCAAGTTGTTGGGGTTTTTTTTATTTATATTTTTTAACCCTCACCCAAGGATATTTTTCCATTGATTTTAGAGAGAGTGGAAGAGAGAGGGAAAGACAGAGAGAAACATCGATGTGAGAGAAACACATGGATTGGTTGCCTCCTGCAAGAGCCCTGACCAGGGCCCGGGCTGGGGAAGAGCCTACAACCGAGGTACATGACCTTGACCGGAATCGAACCCGGAACCCTGCGGTCCACAGGCCAATGCTCTATCCACTGAGCCAAACCGGCTAGGGCCTAAGTTGTTTGATCATCCGTTGTAAAAGGGGTAATTTGACCAACTGAATGGTGACGCTGTTACTATGTAGACAGGAGGAGACTCGCGGGCAGTATTTAAGATCATTCAGATATCCTGCCCACAAGTGAAACCCTATTTTCCCTGACGGCTGAGACCGCAGCATCATTCCATTCCTACGTCCGTGACAAACCCCCGACTCACTCAGGATTCCAGTAACTTGGTACCATCACCAGTTACCGGGCAGTCGTTGGAACAACAGACTGAGCGTGTCCAGACGCCGCCGTGCGACAGGGTGACCTTTCATTCATTTCCCAGTGGGTTCACCTTTGCGTCTCAGGGCAAGTGAAGCAAGAGGAGGAGGGGGCGGGTCCAGTGTTTGTGTCCGGAGGATTGCATCAGATGAAAACAAATGGATTGTGTGTGCCTCCTGCTTTTCCTCCTGCCTCAGCTTCTCCCCACACTCCATAAATCTTACTGGCGAGATGGAGTCAAGCTTCCTGTTAACTCTTGAACATGTCACAGCTCCGTGGGAGCAAAAACAAGTGGCACCCAGCTTGCTCACACACGGCCCCGGGAGCGGCAGGACCAGCCCTGAGGAATGAGGTGCGGCCTGGCCTGGGGACAAGCTGGAGCGGCCGCCCGCGGAGGGTGGCCCGGAACGCTGTCCGTTGATGGCGTTTCCCTGCCCACACGTCTGACTCGCTCAGGAAAGATTGACAGGGGTGTTTGTTTGAAAGTCAGACTCCTGCTTTCCCCATTAGCACAGAGATTCCCGCACATCTCGCTTGTTTCTAGAAACTTCAATTACCTCTCTGATGAGTAGTATGGCCCCTCTTCACATTCACCCCAAGTTTACAGAGGAGGTCATTTCTAAAAATGTGTTAGGGCAATAAAAAAAATCACTAGAGGGTGGGAGGAGGGAGGAGGGAAAGCAGGAGAGAGAGAGAGAGAGAGAGAGGAGAGAGAGAGAGAGAGCGAGGCAGACACTAGCTCTCCCTGCTGGAATAATAGGCTTGAAATATGAGGAAGTTGACCAAGGGCCCAGGCCGTCCA